CTTTCGGCGATATATTAATATGAAATCACACGTCACAGCGTGTCACATTTTGTAGCACGTTATGACGTAACGACCTCCCACTCCGAAACTTAGCGCCATTTTATCTAAGTATTGCAAATTAATAGGTACGAGAAAATAAAAAAATGCGTGTCTAATATTTTTTCATTACCTAACTGACGGACTAATTAAATTTCATATGTTGATACCCTGGAAACTACCCAATTAGATAGGTAGTTTATTCTGAACTTAATACCAATAAAAACCAAACCAATCAATCCATCGATGTTTTCCGAACCGAATCGAAACCTCAGGAATATAAATAAAACTTTGTATCTACGACTAAAACAACGTTCTGTAATATTAGTCGGACCTAAAACAACAGAGGAAAGCTTATTAATTCCAACTATAATCCTCGTGAAACATACGCGTAACGAATGATACAAATATTTGTGTTTCATTTTCGGACTTAACGATGTTTTTAATCCTTATCGAACATGGCGTATGGATTAATGGACGACGCATACTTTTTCTAGTTTAGTAATAGCTGTTTTTTTCCTTGAAAGATTGGATAAAACATAACGGTGTTTTTTTTAACAGGTTGAAATCATCGAATGGCTTTTCCAGCCTGGGTGAGGCGGGAGGGAGTGTCAGACTAATACTGACTAAAAACCGCCCCGTTCCTGCTTCTGCACTTCGAGCCGGAGCCCCGGTAACCTTTTACGTTCTCCGTACCTACTAGGTACGTGTAACACCCGCTTATGGAGTCCATGCAGGTAGGTAATAGAAGATTGAGCATAGCCTATGTACCTAGACAACTTAAATGCTTGGCTTTGTGACATGTATTTAATACCTATGGTCTACCTTTTATACTTATTTTGATAAAATAGGTATACAAAACAGACTTGGTAAGCACCGCCTAGGATTTCACAGCATTGCAACAGCTCTTAGAGTACGATAGCTGGCTTTTAGAAAGGAGCCACGACCATTACAATTGTTTTTAGTCTAACTGGTTATACATGGCTTTAATCTTGATAATATGATAATATTAACACTTCATCCTTTACCTAATCCATGTGATCGTTGGCGGACTATTATCGCAGAGCGCGGTACACTGCACGTCAGATTTAACTCGCAATTTGATGGCATAGGTCATTTTTGTTGATGAAATTTTGTAGTATGTTATCCAGTTAAGTAGTTATGTTGTTGTAGAATTAATTGTTTGTTCGTTTATGGACAGATGCTCCACCTAATGAATAAGTGGAATAATATATAGATAGGTACCTACATAGAAGATGATCATTTATTCTCGCCACATATTAAAGCAACATTAGGTCATTTTTACTTGTATGCACTATAGAAAGGTTCTCACTCTTTTTTAGTGACAGGAGGAAACTTCAAAAGAAGCCTTATTTTTTGGACAATAATTAGGGAGACTGCGAAATTCTAAGCCCATTACCTACCCCCTGTGCAAACGATTTTAGGTAATACTAGGTTACGTAGACAGATGTCTACCGTACGTATCTATCTAGGTACGTATCTATAAGTATCTAATATCCCAAAACTCATCTAAAGGTCCAAAAATATTGTGCTCCATACAAAAAAATTCTGTTCAATTTTTACAATAAAATCTCCTTCAATACCGAAATAAATACAAAACAAAAGGACTTCTTACTGCGTCTACAAATAATTGCTTCTTTACTGCACTTGTCTTGTCTTGCAAGGAAAATGCAAAATGCTTAGCGATACAATATCCGTAGCTACTAACAATTTTAATGGGAATGTTGTCTGTTTGTTTGAAGAATATGGGTTTGGTTCGATTGGATGGTGATATGACTTGAAAGTCTTTTATCAGCTATAAGGTACCATCTATTTTTAATTGGAAACGGATAACTTAGTACCAAAACGAGTAGATAGGTAAATAAAACCTTAATAAAATGACATTAGTGGCAAACTACCTCTTTATTGTTAATTTTGCATGTTTACAGTATCTACATTGTAACTTCAATTACTTAGATAGAATGCCATGTGGAAGTGCGGAGTCTCCTAGCAGAAGCAATCAATTACTCAAAATGTCTCCAATAACTTTATCTAATGCCTGTTGTAATTGAAATAAACTTTTTTTATTTATTAAATTGGTATTTTTAAACCTTCATCGTGTGTGACAATCTAATTTTATTCTACCTCCCTTCGTGTTTAAGGTGATAATCATTAAAAAGTAGTAGCTCGCTATGATAATTTTGACTTTATAGAGTAGCAAACATCGTAGGCAACTACTAGTATTTATATAATCGAACGTCCGAGCGTCCGATCGTCCAGTTTGTCGATACCGGGCGCTTTCAATAAGAATATGCCAGAAGCATACGATACGATAGCTTACGTATGCAATATTGTAACAACCTCGTTATGTTTTAGATAGGTACTTATAGATAGATATAGGTAGGTAGTAATTTTGTTACCCTTTCTTTTTCTTTTGAGGGGGGACAATCATCCAATGACTTCTCCCGCCTTGGGTTATGCAAGAGGGATTCTTATTGACTAAAAACCCACCTCGTTCCTATTCCTTCTCTTCAAGCCGGAGCCCCGGTAACCAGTTAGAGCTTTCGCGGCTCAATTTTGGTACCTAACGCTGAAATAATAAAAAAAAGAAATACCGTACTCAAACGCTAGGCTGATGCCGATACGGAGCCGCGAAGAACCTAACGGGTTACCGGGGCACCGGCTCGAAGTGTATCAATGGGAACGGGGTGGTTTTTAGTCAGTAAGAGCAGGCTCTTATCTCACCCGCCTGGGTGAGGCAGAAGTCATAGGATGACTTTCCCCCTTTAAAAAAAAAAGAGGCTCATATTCATGAGCAGCATTCCGCGACTCGCTACGCTGTGACTGTCGTACTGCTACTGCTGAGAGCATATTGTTGTAATTCGAAAAAAATATATATTTTTAAAGTTGTAGAGGATTAGATAAAATGAAAAAAGCTCTAGTGGCTACGTTTTTATGCTCCCAAGTGTATAGGTAGGTAGTCAGTCTATTCTACCGTACCGGTCCCGTCTCTTCGATATTTCCGTTAGCAAAACAAAGTTCCGCAAAATATAGGTAGGTTAGCAACAACGTCGATAGGTACATATTTCGTGTGCCGTGAACAGTTCTTTACTAAACAGTCCACTGAATTTCCGATTAACTTCGCTTCATGTGTGAATTTTGTTTATGCTTCAATGACTGAATATATTTGAATTAAATCATGTTGGTTGTTGTGATGGTTTGTACCTTTAGGGTTGCTTATGGTATGGGGGAATCGTTTGGTAACTGCGTAAAATTACGGCGTTCATTCGTCTAAGAGGTAACTTATCTGTAATAATAAATTATAGGTTAGGTTTTCCCACTTTTTTCCAGTTGAGTATGATTTTGTAGATGGCAGTGTTTAGTTAATATATCCATCTCAATGGATGGCAGGCCAAGCTACCTGCCTGCTTATTGGATAGCTAGATAGAAAGTAAAATAGGTAAAAAATAATAAACACACATTTCCTTACAATAGCTTTTGTAAAATATATTTATTCTCCATTTCAAACAGGAAAAATAGAAAACAGTCACGAATTACACTAGTTAATTACACTTAATAATTATAATTTGGTTCAGGCGGGTGTGGGGGGAACGGGGGATGTCCAAATGGGGGTGGACCACGGGGTGGGAATTGGGGTCTGAAAGAAGGGGGAGGGGGTCTCCATGGTGGTGGGGGCCTCGCTCCGGGCGGAGGCGGG